GTTCAGGGGATCTCGTAGTCGAGCAGTCTCGACTAGAGCTTTCTTACTTGTTTAGCTTTCAATTTTATTTTTATTGCCATTGCGCGGATTATCGCGACAAGAAGATCAAGAGCAGCGCAAAAAGCAATAACAACAATGAAAAAAGAATTAAATATTTATATGGGGGATATCAACAGACTACAAGAGGGACGCCCACAAGCAAACAAAAAATTATTCCAGCTGAAAATAAACTGAAAAAGCGTAAATCACGCTTTCGATAGATTCAAAAATAGTTGTGCAGCGATAAGACCAACCCCGCCCCCGAAAAAAAAACAAAAAGGCTTGGAAGCAACGGGATTACAACTCAGGGCTAAAAGCAAGACATGCAAATTTCAGTTGCTGTGAGGCATGTTGCACAAACTGCGCATAAATCCAATTAATAACATAATTATTTAGGCGAGAGAGGCAAGAAAAGACAGCGAGACCATTTGAGGCTCATTTACAAAATGCCGCTTAAAAGTCGTTAGGTTGCAAGCAGCCTCGCTGCCTAGTGCAGCGTGCAACGTGCAACAACCTGATGCGTAGGCAGTGCATGTGCCGCCTTACGTACCAGCTGGTTAGCTGGTTTCTAATCATGCCACATGCAGCATGCAACCACAAGCTCCACCATTTCGTATGCAAATTATTTTAATTTTTTCTTATTTTCAGTTTATCTTTTTTTTCCCCCGAAATTGAAATATTGACTTTGCGCACTTAATTTTCGCCAACCTGGCAAATTGTGAATTGCCCAATCAAGCTAAGACCAAACCAGCGAATGTCTATGTGTGTGTCTTGTGTGTATAAACAATATGCAACATAAATTAGAATAACCGTTGAACCGTAAAAACAAAATAGACAAGAAACGTAGGCTTTTGGTCTTTAGGCTCTGGTCTCTGGTTTCTGGTCTCTAGTTGTAGTTGGCGGCGTGGGCGTGGATGATTTGAAGTACTCGAGGCAGTTGACTTCACATAATATACAAATCGAAGGCGTCAAACGTTCCGGACGTGTGTGCGACTAGGCAAGAACTTACTTTGCATAGTTAAAAGTTCTTACAGTGCCCAAAATGATTTATGTTCTTTACGATTTGATTTATGGTACAGAGTTGGAAAAAACTTAGATATAGATCTGAAGTGAGGGTAGAACAAAAGTATATATGTCTAAATCTGCGATTTGATTGTGGCACATAAAAACTAGACATTATTTGTCGCAGACGGATATGGTTTTTATGACAGTTGAAGATATATGTAATATTAGCTATGATATCGGGAAGTGTTATAAACTAATAATGGCTTATGAAGGATTTCTAGTATATATGAATTTCATAGATTAACAAATTTAGTTAAGATATTTAATAATGTCCTGTGCTCATATAAGCTGTGTTGATAGCAAACTCATAACATAGAGATAATGATATATAAATTGACACAGTTACAATGAGGATAAATTTAGCATAATATAAGATGAGATGGCTAGCAACTTTTCCAGATCTTTGAAGTGGCGTAAGGGAAATTCATGCTCTGGTAGTGATTGCCACAATAATACATAAGTATAGACAACATAATGAGTATCATATAGTCATGCCCACCTCCAGACAGTTGTCATGAGGATAAATCTATCATGGACATAACTAACTACACAGGCGTATATTCCAATGAAACCTTTGACTCATCCCAGCACATGCAGCTTTCATAAATTTCGCAAGCACTAATCATTTTCGATCGCATGCTAAACTAGATGATAAATTTACAATTAACGTGAAAAGAAGTGTCGTTTCAAGATGATATCAATTCCAGTTAATAGCCAGATCAATCTTCAAATACCAAGAGCTCAGCTCAACTACTACAAAATGCAGGCCAGGCAGGAGCGATAGCTACTGCATATAACTCCCATTTCCATTCTGGGATTGCATTTGAGTGCGCGCAGTCAATGAGCCAAATTGAAGCGAATGGCAGCCAGGGGAAAAACTTATGAAAATGCAACTTTAAACTGTAATAAAGTGGGAAATTACAGCGCATAAATCTCTGTCGCTAAACTGTCAAGTCGAGTGCGCTGCGCTGCTCTGCGCTGTGCGAAACGAAAGTCGGGAGTTAAGTTGGAAATTGAAGCCAACACCCACGCACAAACACACACACACACACACACGCACACAATTTGAATTTACAGTTTTGCAGCTACTGTTGTTGCACATGCAACGACGGCCGACGTTTGCATATTAAATACAACATGGGGCAAGTAGCCGAGGCAGCAGAAGCAGCCAGCAGCAGCGCCACACAAGTGGATGCAATGTTTTGGTGGAGTCTACAACGCGTCGTATCGTATTATGCATTATTATGGTAGTGTGTGTGTGTGTGTGTATGTGCGTGTTTGTTTATTTGATTTCTTTTCTATATATTTATTGTGGAGGCCTGCTCAGGCATTCAGATCGCGCCACACACACGACTCTTGACGACGCTTGGCGCTTCATTGTCCATATAAAACTAATAATTATTGCATTTAAAATCTAATAAATAAATGCATTGACAGTCTGGGAGTTGTGGATTTTCGAATAAACAACAACAAAAAACATGAGGAGAAGGCAGCGACGGGTGGCAAGTGGAACTTCGCTAAATAGCCGCTCCTATTTTAATGGCGCTGCTGCTGCCAGGGCTGCAAAACCAAGATATAACTTTGGTTTATTACTAATATATGCAAGAGATATATGAATGGGCTGATGAGAAATCTGTCATGAACATAACTACACATGCGTATAATTTAATACCCATTTCTATGTTACAATTCAAGCTTTTTTTGTGTAAAAAAAAATCATATATAATACAGAACCTAAACTAGTTCCTAAGCTAATAGTTTATAGTTCATTTTGGGTTGTTCATATGAGGTAATATTAAATTAAATCTCTTGCCAAGGAACTGATCAAACTGAGAAATGTGGACTTTAATTTGAAATACTCTCGAACAAGTTTATTTCCTAAGCTAATCATAGCTAATTTTGGGGTTTTTCAAATGAGGTAGTATTTTAAATCTGTTACCAAGAAACTCATAAAACTGAAAAATGTTAACTTTCATTTGAAATACTCAAGAACTAGTGCAGCTTGGGAGCTGGGTTTACATACATATGTATCTGTTTACTTCCTTAGACGGCTCATCTGGAGCACAAGTTCATAAATATTTCTGCTATTCAAGTCAATTAAAGTAGTTTAATTTTTGATTTGAAATGCCTTAAGTTGCTTTCATGTCTAAGCTCCGTTTAAAGAATTAGTTCTACAGCCCTGTGAGGCGAACGCACAATTCGTGTAATGCTCATCATCAACTTGGACAATTCTTGTGCTCTATGTTGTTGTTGTTGTTGCTGCTGTTGTTGGCTGTGTTTAGTGACAACGTTTGCAGTCGCTTTTGACCATAATCGTTGTACTTGTCATTCGTTGTGTTCGCGTTGCCAACTGCAACGCCAAAGCGCAAACGCACCGACAGTGCAGACGTTGTTGTTGTTGTTGTTGTTGTTGTTACTGCTACTGTTTATGTGTGTGTTAAATACATGTAATTAGCCATGTTTGTGCCATTTAATCCGTTCGGACTCCATGTCCTCCTCACTCTCCATTCTCTGGCGACGCTTTTCTAAGAATTCTTTGCGTTTTGTTTTGGCGCACGCATTAGGCGCCACAAAGCGCGGCCACGTTTAACCCCCAAGCAGCAGAAGCAGTTGCTGCAGTTAGCATTTACTGCAGTAGCAGTAGCAGCAGCAGCAGCAGCAGCCTGCGTTGCCTGCTCGCCTCCTTCGAGTGCAGTTGCGCATACTCCACATATTTATGGGCCATTTAGGCGAGCGCGCGCATCGTGTGGATGCTGTATGTGGCGCAGAGGGTTGGAGGTGTGTGCGTTGCGGCATGCAACAAGCCAACTGGATGGAGCACAGTAAAGGCTCCATTGAGTGAACACAGGGATTTTATATCCACGAGGAAGCTGAATTAAGAATTATTATTTTGTTTCTTACTATTTACTTATTTTTACCTGATTTATTTAAATATAATATACATATATAATATCTGTCAATGATTTATTATATTTTTTTATACCCTTTTATTTTATTATACGATTTTTTTTATAAAAGAAAATAGATTTTGGTTGTTTTAATGAACTGTTCGTTAAGTGGAGTATTCACTGTATTTGATATGTGGTGGTCGCTGGTTACTGCGTCAGTCATTGGCATTGATTGGCAGCTGAACACGCAACAATTGTTGCATGGCGCTGGCGATGGCGACGCCTCATGCTGCAGCAGCAGCAGCATCATCAGCAATTGCAGCCGAGAATCAGAAGCTGCAGCCGATAGTTTAGTTGAAGCTTAGCATATGTTTTTGCATGTATTAAACACTGCACGAAGTTGCCGCAAAGCAGTTGGCAACGCTGTCTCTAGGCTCAATGGAAGCGTGGGCGTGGGCGTGGCCAGAGGGTTGTGTGTTGACAGCTCAATTACATTAGAAGGGCGCAGGGTTAGCGTGCGCTTAAGCAATTAACGCGTCAATTATTTGTAATTAGAATTGACTTAATTTTTGTGTGCTTGCAAAAGGATTTTTACCCTCAATACGGTCTATGTCCACTTTTGGCACGCGCGCTAGATGGAGAGAACAAGCAGAGTTGAGCGAGAGGGATAGAAATAGGAGTGTGTTTGTATGCGCATGTTGCATATGTGTATAATTTGCATGAATGCATAAATTTTTATTGTTGTTTATGTTTGCTAGTGCTGCTGCTG